GAATAATTTTTGTTAAACATATAAATCATTCTATAGCCCCTCTAGAGAATCCTGAATTAGCATATTTTTTTTTTCGATTTCCACGCATCGTTTCAAGACATCACTAACATAATCTTCATGTCTTATGGTAAGTTTACGCGTTTTGGATGCACTCATGCATATAATCTCATAAGTTCCCATTAATGTATTTATATTTTGCAAAATTCAAAGATCAAGTATCTAGCGGGCTCTCCCGCTGACAGAGAAATCACTCTTGGCGATAGTTTTCTGTCTCATGTGAATGGAGTAAAGGGTAATGTAGGAATGAGTCACTTTATTGAAATCTCCAATAAAACCCTCACTCACCTTTTCTCTTTGGCATCATTACGTTCAATAAAAGATTTTTCGATATTCACAACCGATCGGTTCTGTTGGTTAAATACAAAATTTGGTTCATATTTCGCAATTAATTTTGAGGTTGGCAACGATATTCACGTTCAAAGCATATTTCAATTTAATAAATCTAACGAGCTATGGGGCTCCACTAAACCATCGAATTCCTCTCATATCCAATCCTTACAATCCAAAATCCTTCGTAAAATCATCAACGCTCCTTACTTTGTCACAAATAGAATCATCCATAAAGACCTTAATGATCCATATGTTTCCGATTTGGCCCAATCCAGATACCTATCCTCCCATAACAAACTCCAGAACCATCCGAATCCTCTCATTTCAAACCTTGCTTCCTTCTCGATCCCTGATAACCCTCCGAGGCGTCTGAAAAGAAGATGGCCTCGTGATCTACTTATGTAAATATATTATTAGAGTGCTACCAATGGGTAGTTTCTCAACAAGCATTTTCATGTGATTGTATTATAACTGTGTGCACATTTACTAGTTGTATTTTTTTTTTTTATAATACAGTTGTAAATATCAATGAATAAAAAAAAAATAAAAAAATAAATTAACATTTTTCCTTGGAAGGATTATTTTTGTGTTCTTAGGCTCAAAGCCTGTTTTTGAAATAAATATATAATTACTTCCAACATATATAGATAATTATCTCCACGGAAACGGCTGCTATATAATTAAACCAATGAACACGAAACTCCTCTCCAGAGATCATATTTAAATACTTTCGAACATTTAAGGGTTCGCGTCGATTCACAGTTCGTAATTAAAAATATAATGTTATATAAACATCTTGAAACTAATTTTTTGGAAGAATGGGGGAAAATGCCCTCCCAATTGACTCCGAAGTTGACCCCAAATGACATAAATTATTATGTGATACGAATATGTTTAAAAATGTTTGCTGCATTAAAATTCTTATTTTATACTTCAAATTTTATTTAAAATATTTGCATTCATTTTGGATATTTTTGTCAACTGTCACCAGAATTTAATTTCTAAATTGATAATTAAAAATACAGTTAATTTATACCAGATTTGGATCTTCTAATAATAATTACTGGATCTTGATATTTATTGAGAGACCTAATTCAAATTAAATTTTCTCATGGTATTATATTATAGGCCATGTAGATCTTTTGCCGCCTTAACAAGGCTGCTCCATCTCTGCATGTCTCGAGTTATTTCTTTCCATTTATCTGCACGCGGCTCTCTTCTATCTTTGTTGATCCAAAAATTTTTGTATCTATCCATCTACTTTTTGGCCTTCCATGTGGTCTTATGCCTTCTATTGAGGCACTCATAGTTAGGTAGAGGCTTCCAGATGGATTACTACGAGCTACATGAGCCTATCTTAACCTCCATGCATACATATCATGGGATATTGATTGATCAGTTTCTGTAAGCAGTTCTGAATTGGTATTTCTTCTCCACGTGCTTGTACTCTGTCATTATTAACATATAAAAGGTTGGTTTATCATTATCATATTGATAAATTTTTATATTGTTTTGTTATCTCCTTATTATATATTTTTTCTTACTGGCTATCTTGTTTTTACTTAGCATTAATGAAGCCTAAAACTTAGCCAAAACTCTAATACATCAAAATAGGTTTTCTAATTCGTGTTTTTTTTTTTTTAAATCAATGAAACCACGCAACAATCAATGTCTCCTGAATTTATTTTTATACATGTTATTATAAAAAACATACTTATCAATATAATAATTGAAGAATGTTATATAATGTACATGGTTGATTTTATAGGTATCCAATTATAATTATAATAACTATATTACCAAAAATATAAGAAATAAAAGTATAATCATGTTTTTGCTTTCGACATTTTGTTTAATATAAGTGTTAAGTATATGGTATTACTTAGTTATTTCAAGCAAATGAGAATCATTTTCTACTTATTAAAACTTGATTTGATAAAAGAATATATATGAATCAATTTACATGCCAAATGAATTTTGAAATTTAAAGCAGATATCACAGATGAAATAAACAAATTATATTATTTCATGGATTTGTCTAATAGGAAAGGGCCTAATACAAAATTTCAACAAAAATAGTATAAAATGGTGTTCTTTACTTAATGTATATCAAACCTACATAAATTATTTTTTATTTAAGAAAATTCCTACCCAAAAATTTATGGTAAAACTAACTTTTAGAATGTCATATGATTTAAAGTTACAAATAATAAGAAACAAATCATTACTTTCAAGTACTACACAAGGCATGCGTACCACTAGTATATAAATCTATGCCAATAATAATAAACCAATAAATATTATAGGGTGTTTTATTATGTACATAGCTCAGGCCAGTTGTATGGGTAGGACAACCAGGATATTTTCCCAGGCACCACATTCAGAAGGGGCACCACAGATCAGAAACAAAAATGAAGCCAGTGTAATATCAGTTTTTTATAATTTAAATTACAATAAGCCAGCTTGGGATTCGAAATTAATCTCTATTTAAACAATTATATTAACCTCTCTATTTAATATGGAAAAACAGGCACCTAACCAATTTGGAGTGGGTGTGAGAAAGGCAACAGGTAAGATCTCGCCCCGAAATCCAATGATCCATATGACAGCCCTGATATAATTTGTTAGTTGTATTCTTCAAATATAAAATTTAAAAATTATTTTAATAAAAATTTTTGATATATCGATCACCTTTATGCAAATTTATTTTTATGTTTCTCATTTTTTCTTCAAAATATTTGGGATCTCCCTCTTTGAGAAGATAATGAGATCAATATTCATTAGACTAATTTAATTTAATAATTATCTTATTCTGTAGGTCTATCTTGAAATTTTGAAAGTTGTGAATTTTTTACCACACCTATGTCACTATTTTTACTTAAAAAATAAGTGTATGAATAATTTATTTTTCCACTTTACTGGTCGTCAAACACCATTTCATTCCAAATCATTTTATTCCATACTTAAGAATTATTTATAAGCAATAAATATTTTGATTACACAAGCGTATTGTACCTAAAGCCTTATTTTTAAACTTTACATATTTTTTTCAAAACATTTATACTGCTCAAGTTTGAGCTAATAGCCACCACAATTTAATAAATATGGCATTGAATGCATTTTTTACTTATTATACAGGTCATTCTAAATAATTTTGTGAAAAATAATTGTGATTCAATGAATAATGCTGGAATAATAAAATTTTTAATTAAACAATTTCACAAATGCAACAATTTTCAGGATTGTAAAAATGTTTATTTCTTACATTTTTGAAATCTATTTAAGATATTAAAATAAAATTTTATGTTTCGTTATTCGGTAAACAGAATATATTAAAAACAAATCATAAAACTGTTCATTGACTTGGTCTTGACCAGTGTGCCCCGAGATTAAAAGTTTGATAACTGTTATTAATATACATTAATTTTTCTTTGTATAATGTAGGGTCAAATACAATTTCATGACATCTAGAGAAGAAATATTTCATTTTAAGAACCTAAAAAATTAAAACATCAAAACTACGTGACAATTGTATTAACAAAGAATATATTATTCTTACAACCACCGAGTACTGAAACATAATATGTATAGAATGCAACAGTAAACATTTGTTGTAAACAAGTCCACAACCCAAAAAAGAGAATTTTGACATTTGATAATAAATGATAAAAAATTAAAATTCGATGGAACCTTCACTACTAAGACTGTTTGCAGGGTATACAGTTGAGTGTGTATATCATACTTTTGTTCTTGAAATGAGATAAAATAAATATAAATATATAAAGTTTAACATACACACTACACTCTTTCTTAAGGAAACTTAAGTACCTCTTAAGGATCTACTGGAAGTAGATTGAAAAACCATTTATATCCAACAAAATGAAAAATATTAATAGGTTTTAGTAAAAAAAAAAATTACCTTGTAATTTTCAAAACCAGCAAGTTGCTGGGGTGTCAAATATTCGTAATCAAAACACGAAGACCAACTCATCTTGATAGCCTCTTTGGTATTTCTTTGTTTTTTAACTAAACGATATTTAAATGGGTAATGTTAACTAAAGAAACTCAATTCTTAACAGAAATCAAATATAACAGCAATCGAACAACCATCAACACCGGCATGCAAATCGTTACTGAACTTATCCATAGATCTCAGTAGTGTTATTCTATATTATCGATCACCTTCTACATGTCATCAGAATCGATTTAAACTTTCATCAATAATGAGAACTATTTTTTTTTTGTTTTTTGATACCATATAACGTCTATCAAATTCAAAATTTATGCTGTATCTATTTTAATTTGATAAATAAACAAATAATATCAGTTCGTACTAAATTTATTAATGGAATTATTATATCAAAATTCATCATTTTGTAAATCCACCATGTATTACTATTATTTATATAATTTACATTTCATTCTTTCTTTATAAATTTTTCACAACATTGGCCATTTAGAAAATCTGTTATTTCCGAAATTCATCAGTATAATAAAGCGGAGGTGACACTTGTGACCGGTTCCCTTGTAGGGAAGGTATAATATTGTTATCCTTCAGTGATTAAGTTGTAGATTTTAGTGACACACCCAACGTTACGTCAAATTTTAAAATGAGTTATTTCAGTTCACCAATGCCAGATAGACAATTCTTATGGGAAATATTCAGCGGGTAAGAGTTCTATCATTTAAAGTATTTTAGTTAAATAGTTCACTCTATTATAGATTGTACTCATGCATGAGTTTGATTTTCCAACTGAAAACAAAGTATCCCTGATATCTTACTATTTATTTCGTTTTGTCATTATTTTTTTCTTATAAACTTTAAATCCTAAGAATAAATAACTTTCAAGAATGTCCTTATTTCTTATGTTTCTTTGTTCGATTTAAGTAGATAGAGAATGTTAACATAGCTGTTGTTGATCATTGTTAAATGACTGATTGTCTGTAAGTAAGTCAGTTTTTATTGAATCATTATTCTGATGTATTATTTAAGCATATGCTAGGTTTAATATGTTATAGAACTTATAGTACAAGCATTCTGTAAATTGTATTTCCTTCTACTTCTAAAATAGTATTATGCAGAAACCTGCAGTGCAATGTTAGTGTACTATCTGCACTAATTAATTAGTTTAGAAATAGTTTCATTTAGCTGTTTTCTTTTTTAGTTAGTTTATTACTATTGGCACATAGACTTCTTCAGTACTTTTTATTATTCCTGTGTATATACATGCCCATTTTAATTCTGAAGACTGAGAAAATATGATATTCTTTAATATTTCTTCAAATAAAACAGTGAAATTTAATCTACACTAAAGTTAACATTGATATTATCAGACATACTTGGATACTTTTGGCATTCTGCGAACACTGTGATAGATGTGACATTGGCCCTGCAGTCAACCAGATGTGACACATATGAAGTAGTTTTAATTATAATTAAGTTAATTTACCTTAATATAGGAATAATAAAAAGTACTTCAGAAATCTAGATGCCAACAGTGATAAATAAAAAAAAAAAAATTTAATTTAATTTTCGAGTTATTCGCAAATAAAGTTTCTTTTCTTTCATAACTTTTTGCCTGAATTTTCGGGGTGATTGGATTATTTTGCATGTCTGTAGGAGAATGAAATCTTCAAAATTGGTGGTTCAATCTTGAGATTTGGTGAAGAATTAACGATGATGTGGCTTACATTGTACGACAAAAAATACTTTCGATAAATAATACAAACTCCTCTTTTCACGGTCATAAGGGCCTCAAATCGACGAAATGAGACATGTATTCAATCACAGTACTACAATTAATGTAAGTTTATGTGGATGCTAATCCTTTGCCCTTCATTATCTCGAAAATAGTTCATTTTAGACTTAAGAAAGCTTGCTGATTTACCACCGTTCCAGTATTGAAGTCTAGCAAAATGTTTGTGTCGACTTTATTTATTTTAGAAACAAAAATAAAAGCGGTGAGTATGATTCGCTAACCCATATTGTTTGGATAACTCAAACTAATAGTTATTAAGAAGGTCTAAGAATTTTTAAAGTTGATGAATGCAGTTAATTTACAATCACATATTTTGCATCTTGATCTTTAACCTTAATGAATACATACAGCTTTATTCAATTATTTATGGGAAATAATTGATCACTTATGGGAATGACCGTATAAAGGTAGTAAATGGTATACATATTAAATGGTGTTGATCGTCATATTTCCAAGCTATGACAGACCTCAGATAAGAACATCTATCACATAAATGGCTGGAGGATTTGATAAATAAAAGTTTAATTCAATAATAATTAGGAATCGACCGATATCGAAATTTTGGCTGATACAGATATTAAAAAGGCCGATATTTTTTCCTTTTTCGTCAAGATTTGTACAGTTTCACATGGACTATCCTACTTATTGCTAAATAAAATAATAAATAGACCATCTACCTATAAACAAATTTTGACTGATAAAAAAGAAATAAAATTATATTTCAGCATATCGGCCTTTCGTTCGTATATGTCTGGTTCCATACGTCACATAGAAAATTCTCATAATTACTGAATGAAAGTATCAATCAATCATCTAGGGCTAGATCTATATACTATAACATCTCTCTTGCTTATATTGTTTAACTAGTAATATAGTCTCGTGGAAGATCTCTATACTATAGTGTTACTTTTTAAATAAATAAGAGGTTGTTAAATAATAAACAAAATTATTAGAGTATTAATATATTAAATTGAAATTTATAATTATTTTATCTCAAGGTATGGGTTACTGACAATCAGATCAAGTCACTCAGACAAACTAACATTATCTACACTAAACACTGTTTGATTTTAAAATAAAGTCAAGTATGAATTGACAAGCTAACCTTTTTTCTACATATACTGTTTCTTCTTTTGTTGCACTAAATTCATTTGTCTTCTAACACTTTCCTATGTTCTGCCAAACACATCTTCCAAAAGAGTGACATTTTCTTCTACTCAACTTAAGCTCCCTGGGAGATCCTCTCTCTTGTAATTCCAAACAACTAATCTCCCTGCCAAACAACTTCTAAGATGGTAATACTATTACTGGGTTTTACCCACTGAAGCCAGGATCCCTTCTCCTATCCTCTCTTCACTGCTGCCATACAACAATTTGCCAAAACAAAAACCTTTGTCCCTCTCCTCTTTGAGGTTTTCCTTTTTGGGGAAACTACAGAGCAGACATTCTCTTTTCCCTGAACTGAATAGGTTAGCTTGCTTTTAACTGTTACATTAATTTATTAAATAATTTTTAATAACTTTCAATTAAGGTGTTTATTACAATACACATTTCAGTCGACACCAATATCCTAAAAACCGATATACAAACACATTTTTTGTTTCATCCATCCTCCTATCTCCAAAATTTAATATAAAATCTGAAATTGTCAATAATATACATACAATAACAATAAATGCGTTATATGGTCCATCCCACGGACCGATATATCGTCCTTTTGACCTTATTTTATCCTGAGATAAACCTATATTTCAGCATATCGTCCTTTCGTTCTTATATGTCTGGTTCCATACACCACTTAGAAAATTCTCGTAATTGCTGAATGGAAGTATCAATCATCTAGGGCTAGATTTATATACACATTTCAGCCGACACCAATGTCCTAAAAACCGATATACAAACACATTTTTTTTTTTTATCCTCCTAACTCCACAATTTTAGCTTATAACCAATATTCTAAATACTGATATATCGGCCTTACGACCTTATTTTATCATGATTTATAGTTTCACTATGAATATTATTTATGCTAATAATAAATGGACCAATCAATTCTCATGGAAAGGATATAAACATAAATTTCAGTAAAGACCGATATATCAGACTTAATATTTAATTTTATCGAGATTGGTAAAGTTTAATGATATTTTATTTTTTGCTTGTCTTCTTTCAAATCTTTTTCGGTCCATCACATAGATTGATATACCGGCCTGTTGGCCTTATTATATCACGATTTATGTAGTTTCACTTTGGATATTATTTATACTGATAATAAATGGGCCAATTAATAGCCATTTAATCTTTATATTGATTAATTTAGACATAAATGTGATTAGTGACCTATATTATATTATTATAAATTATAAATATTAATGTTACTGCACATTTTTTATTTTTAATATGAACCTATATTTGCTCCTGTAATCATTCCTATAAATGAGAATATTGTTGTATTTACAGGTGTTAATAACAATACTCTAAGATTCATTAGTAGCGAATTTAGAAATTACATTTGAGGAAGATTATTACAAAAAAGTTTAATAATGGTAATTACTCTGGAGGAAAATGAAGGGCTAAGAAAGGAAAAACAGGAACAATTATGCTTTCAGGGATAAAATATCTTTATTACTCACAGAAATAAATGTGAATCTAAGAAAAATGAAAATTATTTTTCTATATTAGAGGGTTACAGCACTAAAGTATTATTCCCCAGTAAGTGTATTTAAATATGTGATAAAGAATATTGTTATATTTACATAAAATGATGGATAAATATTCTTCTTTATATAAACAATATTTATTTTCTCTGAAATTTAATAGTCTGAATAAATATATTTGCTAGTGTATTCATTTCTGTAAATACGAGTATGGTTGTATTTATAGATGCGGTAAATAACATTGTTATATTCACATGAAAGTGTGTATAAATTTTGTCAATTACCAAGCACATATTAATAAAATTTAAAATAGACGTAATAAAGAATATTGTCCAGTTCACATAAGCTTAAGAGTAAATATTTTTATTAATTTTCAAACAGCCTTCGAACAATCTAATTATGGTGGTATTTTCCCTTTGAAATTGCTAACGTTATTTGGTTTTTTCATGATATGACAATATTCTTTTATATAAGAATATAACAATATTCTTTACCATACCTGTTATTATTACTGCAATACTGTAATACATATATTCGTATTTACAGGATTGAATACGATAGCAAATATATGTATTTAGAGCTGTAAATTAGAAAGAAAATGAATATTTTCTAAATAAGGAAGAATATTTATCCATAATTTTTTGTGAACGTAACGTTATTCTATTTCTCATATTTAAATACAATTACTGAGGAATAAGGAGACAAGTTAGCCCAACTCTGATTTTATTTGGTATGCCGTTTATATCGGGTAGATCGAAAGAACACTGAAAGAACGAATTAAAGAACATTTCCATAAAAAGAAACATAAACATCGTATTTCGCTTGAGTGTCAATAATATTCAATTTAAGGATTCTGTAATCATTAAATTAGTAGCGGCTAATGAAAACAAGACATAGGGAAAAGGGGGTAGCATATTTATACAATAGTTTTATTTTTATTTTTACCCTTCATTTGACAAGCAGGAGATGATGAGGACTGTCATAAATTACGTGATAATTAGATTTTATTTAATTGTTGTTTTCATTCATTTCATAGATTTATTTGTAAATTTTACTTTTCATTGTTGTTAATTTTTATATCTTATTTAGCCTGATGAAGGACCGAAATCGTAAATTTTGGGTTGGCAAATAAGTCCTTTCAGTTTTTCAAGGTTAATTAAAACTCAGTATATTGTAGACATTAGATTTATTTTAACCTAAAATATATTGACCGTTATTTAATGACTTTTTTTTCCCCATCTTTCCACTAACTG